CCATCGTTAAGCTGACCGACCCCAGGCAGTTTAGAAACAGCTGGTCTTCCAGCTTTATTCTTCACGTTCCATCATCTGGATTTGAACACAGGTCTGCATTTCAACAGTTTCTGGGTATACTAACTGGGCTTGCTTAGGTGCTCATCCCACAGGACTGTTTTCCAACAGTCCGCGGAGGTACCAACCTGTGCTAGGCCCAGTGGCTGTGCTCCCACATACCTCTTTTCAACTATTCGTGGGTGTACCAGCTGAGCTATGCTCACGGGTGCTGGTCCCACAGGCCTGTTTTTCAACAGCCTGCGGGTGTACCAGCTGAACTTGACCTACGGGTGTTGGTCCCACATGCATGTTTTTCAACAGCCCTGCGGGGTGTACTTGGCCCACGGATGCAGGTCCCACAGGCATGTTTTTCAACAGCCTGCGGGTTGTACCAGCTGAACTTGGCCCACGGATGCAGGTCCCACAGGCCTATTCACACTCGCACTCCTCACAGCAATTCATGGTTGGTGGATGGTGCACTTTACAGGAGATCCCCGCCACTCAGGATCCCGCTGCTTCGAGGGCTTTGCACCCTTAGGCACACCTGCACGTTGTCCCCGTTGGTCTGCGCTTTCAAGACGGGGAGGATAGAGAAATCTCATCAGCATCCCGTACATGTAGGAACCCGGACCGGCCCGCAAAAAGAGGCGGGTGCTCAGGGCTCTCGACTGCCGTGACTGCTATCTGTGGGGGAGGGTTTCAATTGTTCCCAAATGTAATGTCGGCCACTGCAGCCCCCGTCGGCATGCACTCCACGCCCATCAAGGAGGGTGGTGACGCAGTCGTCGTCCACACCCGTGGAGGTGGGGGTACACGACTTCCTCCATCCGCTCCTTGCTCGACAATTTTAAACACCCTTTTGACTTTATTTTTAAAAGTTATTTTCATCCCTCCTCGCGATACTTCCTCGTCGTCGGTCCCGGAGCCAATTTTCGGCCTGGTCAACAGACGAAAAATTGGAAAAAAGTAAAAATAGAAAAAATAAATCAACAAAAATAAAAATAGTAGAACTAAAGAGGACGAGGACCTGTCGACGCCCTTTTGGTCTTGTCAGTCGAACCCATGCTTGGGCCCGTCTAACAAAACCAAGGGGGATAATCCCTTAAGACCCTCGACCCCTCAGTCCCTGTTGGTCGCGTTCCTTTGCCCCTTAATCACTTGCTGGCCTCGAACCTCAGACCCGTCGGTGGAAAATCCAATATCGTAACCAATAGGGCGAAGCCCAAGTCTGAACTAAGTAGGGGCGAACCCGCATATGAATAGCCGCGGGACCGTGGTCGGTCCTTCCCGCACAAACCAGGCCTCCACCTCGCCCTATCGACTAACCTCCTGGTCGTCTGAAGACGCCGAGATGTCGCCCGCGCCTAGGATCGTAGCTACTTGGTATCTTGGTCGTCGGGCGCTCGACATATTTTCGTCAAACTTTCGACTTTCCCTCATACTAGGTTTGCCAACGCCGCGCGGCCCGCGCCTTTCGACGCGTCGTCCAACATAAACTTTCTGCCTGTGTGCAAGGTGAAGTTTTATTCTCTTCGCGCCGTATCCCGCCAGAGGCCGAACTAGTTACGAAGTAAATTTATCCTTTATAAAATAAAAGAAGAATCTAATCAACAAAAAGAAATTACAGAAGGGAGAGTAACCGGACCTCACGGCTTCGGCGCCATTTCGCTAGCCTAGTATTGCTGATGACTACCGGGCATCTCACAATGCCACACAATAATGTGAGCCCCACACTCTCTCTCTGGCCACATTCGATTCGGAGTTTCGCCAAGAGCGAGGCTGCCGAGATAAGCGCCCTGACGCGATTTACCTCATCAGCGTATTTCATTGATCAAGGACGCACCCAGTGCGACCTTTAACAAGGACGGCAAATACCCTTGTAAGGGTGTTTACTACGATAGCGGAACTTGACGTGTCCTTTTTGTGTGTGAATGTTCTCAGTCGCGTCAAGGAAGACTCTCGGAATTTCGCAAGGATACGAATAGGCGTAGGACTTTTTTTTCCCACGTTGATCTTTCGCGCGCGGATATGGTGATTTCAATGTTGAATTGGCTTAGGACGTAGGCGAGCTGTAACTGTTTCGGTGCATTTTTCTTTTGTTCTTTTTGTTGACGGCGCCACGCATGCAAAAGCTTTCTCCTCTCTGTCCCCCACATCGCTCTCTCCCGCGCTCTTTTTTCCTTCCCCTTTCTCCTCCTCTCTCCTCGTAACTATTTTTCTCCCTCGCTCAGTTCTGTGCGTGCCCATTTCCCCTTTTCTTGATCATCTGAATCTTGGACCCGTCTTGCGCTATTTCTCGCGCCTTTTCTTCTCTCTAAGCAAAGGTCGTGAAATCCGGTCGATCCTTCGATTACTCTCGCCCACCAATTAGACGCGGGGTACGGTAGGATCTGCCTATCGCGCAACGAGTCTGATTGGTTAATCTGGAGTTTCGAATCATCAACATGGTTTTCGCGAAGCGCTCCTCTCAAAGTCTTCTCCTCCTGTTTCTCCTCTTACACTTCGACTTTCACCCTGCATTCTCCCTCCCTTGGCTCCCTCTTCTCTACTATAAATTCCGCAAGCTCGCCCGCAAATCTCTCTTACGTTCTCAACTCTCAAGCCAGCTTCCGGGAAGCAGTGGCTAGGCAGAGTGTTTGGTGCGAGTCGGAAAGTCCTGTCGGGCTGACGATAGGCTGGCCGGTTGCGCGCTTGATCGCCACGACGGACTCTGGGATCGGGGCGAACCACGCAGAGTTTACATCAGCGGGGTGACGATCGCTATGGTAAGAGTTAGCACGAGACGGCCGGGATCGTCGGTGCGGTATGAGGATCGATGATTGGAATTGAGTGAGTGATGGGCCTGGGGCCATGTTGGAATCTACGGCGAATGCGCCTTTGTTGTTGCGGATCTTTATCTCTAGTGTGAGCGTGCGGCGGCAACGTCGAACATCCTCTTTTTGGATCTCGTCCTCTTCTATCTCCCTTTCTCTCCTCTATCTTTGAATGATGAAGTGTCTCTCTCTCTCTCTCTCTCTCTCTCTCTCTCTCTCTCTCTCTCTCTCTCTCTCTCTCTCTCTCTCTCTCTCTCTCTCTCTCTCGCTCGCTCGCTCGCTCTCAAATGGAAATGAGTCTGCATGTTGTTCCTGT